TGGAAGGGACCTCAGAGGTCATCGTGTCCAACCCCCCTGCWCACGCAGGGTCACCTAGAGCACGTGGCACAGGGCTGCATCCAAGCGGGTTTTAAAGATCTCCAAAGAAGGAGACTCCACAACCTCTCTGGGCAACCTGTGCCAGGGCTCTGTCACCCTCACAGTGAAGAAATACTTCCTTAAGTTCCTGTGGAACTTCCGATGTTTCAGTTTGAAGCCATTTCCTCTAGTCCTATCACTGTCCACCACTGAAAAGAGGCCGCCCCCCTCCTCCTCACTGCCTCCCTTGAGGTATTTGTACACACTGATCAGGTCCCCCCTCAGCCTCCTCTTCTCCAGGCTGAACAGGCCCAGCTCTCTCAGCCTTTGCTCAAAGGGCAGATGTTCCAGGCCCCTGATCATCCTGGTAGCCCTGCGCTGGACTCTCTCCAGCAGCTCCACATTCCTCTTGTACTGGGGAGCCCAGAACTGGACGCAGTACTCCAGATGTGGCTTCACCAGGGCTGAGTAGAGGGGGATGATCACTTCCCTCGACCTGCTGGAGACGCTCTTCTTAATGCACCCCAGGATCCCGTTGGCCTTCTTGGCCACCAGGGCACACTGCTGTCTCATGGTCAACTTGTCGTCCACCATGACACCCAGGTCCCTCTCAGCGGGGCTGCTCTCCAGCAGGTCAGCCCCTAATCTGTACTGGTGTCCAGGGTTATCCCTCCCCAAGTGCAGGACCCTGCACTTGCCCCTGTTGAACCTCATGAGGTTTCTCACCGCCCAGTCGTCCAGTCTGTCCAGGTCCCTCTGGATGGCAGCACAGCCCTCAGGGCTATCAGCTACTCCACCCAGTTTGGTATCATTGGCAAACTTGCTGAGGGAGCACTCCAGCCCTTCATCCAGGTCGTTAATGAATAAGTTGAACAGGACCGGACCGAGAACTGACCCCTGGGGGACACCACTAAGTACAGGCCTCCAGCTGGACTCCACACCATTGACAACCACTCTCTGCACCCTGCCATCGAGCCAATTCCTAATCCACCTCCCTGTCCACTCATCTATCTCACACCTTTGGAGCTTGCCCAGGAGGATGCTGTGAGGGACAGAGTCAAAAGCCTTGCTCAAATCCAGATAGACCACATGTACCGCTCTGCCCTCATCTATCCAGCTGGATATTCCTTCGTAGAAGGTGATCAGGTTAGTCAAGCAGGATTTCCCCTTGGTGAATCCATGCTGGCTACTCCTGAGCACCTTCTTCTCCTCCATGTGTCTGGAGAGAGCAGCCAGGATGAGCTGCTCCATCACTTTCTCGGGGATGGAGGTGAGGCTCACTGGCCTGTAGTTACTCCGGTCCTCCTTCTTGCCTTTTTTGAAGACTGGAGTGATGTTGGCTTTCAGTAGTCAGCCATGCTGACTACTCCCAAWCCTGGTTGTCATTTGTATATACAGAAATGGTTTCCAGGATTAGTTGCTCCATCACTGCATCAAGATGAGTCTGACCATCCTGTAATTCTCTGGATCTTCTTTCTTGCCCTTCTGAAAGTGATATTCGCTTTCTTCCAGTCCTCAGGAACCTCTCCTGATAACCATGACCTTTCCAAGGTAACCAAGAGCAACCTCACAGTGACACCAGCTGGCGCCAACAGCACTGGAGAGCACATCCTGGCAGATTCCAGGGCCCTGTGTACATCTAGTGCGTGTAAGCATTCCTTTACCTGATCCTTCTTTCCATGGGGGAGTTCTCCTTGCTCCAGACCTCCGCTCTAGCCTCAAACGCCAGAGATTTATGAAGTCTGGTGTTACCAGACTCACACAGAGAAAACATTCAGGACTTCTGTCTTCTCTGTGTGCTTCGTCACCAGGTTCCTCATCACATTCAGCAGCAGGGCCATGTCTTTCCTGGCTTTTCTTTTTCTGCCTAAGTGCTTGCAGAAGCCTTTCATTTTGGCCTTCACATCCCTTGCCAGATTCAGTTCCACATGGATTCTATCCCCATCCCCAYGTACTTGAGTAGTGTCTCTACGTTCTTCCTGGCTCATCTGCCCCTCCTGCTGCATCTTGCACACTTTGTGTTTGACTTTAGCCAGGCACACTGTTCTTCCAGGCAGGTCTCCTGCTGCCTTTGCTTGKTTTCCTGCCTTACCTCCAGTGAGCCCCAAAAATGCTTCTCCCAGTGCTGCTCTTGATCAGTGATATTATTCAAGACTGTGTAGGCACTAGCACTTTGCTGGACTTTTTTACTTCCATTTTTATTTCTGCATTTGTATCACATTCACACACATCTCATGGATCTTTTTCTATTTATATACCCACATACTTACTTGACAGGACACCACTAAGGTCAACACTACTTGATTTATTCTCCTAAAGCTTTTACTGGTGAAATCACTTCTTCCAAGGCTGATCCAATCTATGCTGATGTGCTTTAACTTAATCCACCTCCATAAGCCTACCTTCCAGTAGTTTAATGTACTCAGTTTAAGTGACTAAAATTAAAGAATCTGATTATATTTTCTCTTGGCCTGCACTGCTAGATTTGGATTTTTGTAACATGTTTGTGACACATCGAAAAAGTTGGCGAAAACTTCAGCATCGGCTTCATATCTGCCTTTGATTTAGTGCTAGCCAGGTGGATTACAAACACCTTTCGTTCTTCTGTCAACTATTTTTTACCTATGATAGCTCCTCATTTCTCCATGCAAAGTCTTATCTGGGTAATCCTTTCTCTTTAACTATCTGTATGAAAAAAAAAAACAAAACCAAGCAAACAAACAAAAAGACAGCCCTAATTTATTTCTGGATGGCCAATATTCTTTCCTATACCTAGGTGACAGACGTTAATAGAGAAAGAGCCAAGGTGGTATCTCTCCAGCTTCCACTGCACAGACACATTTAGCTACTGGCACTGGCTTTAAATGTCCATCACGCTGCTTTTTTGCAGGATTTCTTTCCAAAGCTAGACACATAAATGGCTCTGCACCTGGGACAAGGGCAGCTGGACTTCACRAAACTGTGTCCTGGATTACAGCATTGCTTAGCCTTCCAGCACTGCATAAAGGAGATTTTTAGTGCAAGGAACTGGAGGGATGATGCTGGAATTGGCCACAAGAGGGCATAGGTGTTGCTTGAAAACGTTCCCTATGAAAAGCAGCTTCCAGAGCATCTTGTCCCACTCAAGAGCCTCAGCTTGGGCAGCTCATAAGACTGGAAAGAGAATTTCCTCCTCCTACCTGGGATGTGTTTCCTGCACTGCTGTTAGTGGCTGTAGTGCCTCTTCCTACATGTGCTTCCTGTGGGAGCACATGATCCAATCCCCAGTCTTCCCGAGGGTCTTCCTATCCATGGCTGTTGTGAATTGATGAAAGATTTAAGTTCTAAATTGACTCTTATTTCTGTTTTCTACAGTCCTTGCAGCTTCTGCCCAGCGGCTCAGCTTCTCCCCGCCACGGTCCAAGAGCTGGGTTTGTTGCTTGCCCTCCTCCCTTGTCCTTTTGCTCAGTAGGTGTCTTTGCTAATGGCTGGGTAACCTCCTCGCACCTTCTCCCCTGTAATTTTCCGTGCATGTGCAGATCTAGCTAACTTTGTTTATTAAATGTGCTAATTGCCTGRGCATAAGCAGTAGCAATTAAACCACAGGAGAAAAAAAAGGAAGCTCCTTATTCACATCCTTCGATTATATTCTGCTTTGCAGACAATATTCACACTTCTGCAGCCTACACAGTTTCCTTGTAAATATATGATGCCTTCTGGCTAAGTCACCTGCTTATACTGGTTATGTTAATGTTTAGGCCCTGAGGTTTAAGCCCTTCCATAGCAGACATAATGGCAGAATTATACAAGTTCTAATGTAATTATATAAAAACAACTCTGCTTTCAGTAGAAACCGAAAATGAAACATTTTATGCTCTGCCATCACCAGCTGTGTGCCCTTGGAGAATTTGTAAACTTTATTACCATTTATCATTTGTACTTGAACTATCACTAAGATCTGATAACATCTCATAACAAATGAGATGTTTTTGGCACAGATTCTACAAATTCTACATGTTTTTGCCAGCAGATGCTTTTTACCAGTATCTGCTGTTGCACTTTGAAAAAAACAGGAGTCTAGAAAGGGATGATGCTCGTTTAGCTYCACAAAAGTCTGTCTTAACAAGGGAAACTTGCTGCCACTTATGTGTAGCTCTTTACCTTATGTTATAATGTGTGTCTATAAGCTTTACAATTTTTGCATATTTTTTCTTTTACCATTACTTATTACCATTAGTGATTAGCTCAGTACAGCTCTTAACTTCAKTGTGCAAGTTGATGAGAATTATATGCAGTACTTTGGAAATGATATCCTGTTAGCAAATCTGCATCAGCAGGTTCTTTGATTTGTTGAAGAAACTGCTGTAGCCTGTGAATCAGTAGTCTTTGTCAGGGGACTGAATGCCCCATCTTGCAGCATCTGCCTATTTCTGAGTGAGCATGAGAAGGAAAAAAAAAAAAAGCTCTTTTTATTGTGTTATGGAGCATGTTTTGGGAGAACAGGGACAGGCATGCTGACATCAGAGGAAAGACGCTGCCTATAATGAGAACATAGGTGTCTGTGCTACAGACTTGTAAAGATAAGRTGAGAAAAAGCCACCTGTGGCTTCCACAAGTAGGCAAAACCTGTGCAGACCCCGTACAGTGCTAGACTTGTGGTCGATCTTAATAATAATAATCACATCTGAATGTTTTTACTGCATGTCCAGGGCACTGCAGTTGTAAAAACATATTTGAAACTTATGAAAGGAGGAGAAAAAAAAAACCTCTTTGGGCCAAATCAAACAAAAAAGTGTGTATATTTTAGTATGGCCTTTTAAAAATCCATTATGTGCTAAAGAAGTATAACATTATAATACAAGAAGGAAAGCTGATTACAACTGCAATCAAGCCTTCAATACAGGGAAAACCTATTCAAAGTTTTCACACACAGAAGCAGGGCACACTCTTCACTGAAGACTTTATTGCAGGCCAAAACCAAACCGTTTATAAAGTGTTACTGCAAATAAATGGTTAATTAACTCTTTCTTCCTCCCTCGCCAGAAATGTTTCCGGATGAGTGTCAGCGCGGGTCCTCACTGCTGGTGCCCAGGAGCACGGGATAAGCCGTTCCGATGTGCTGCCCGTGGCGACACACGACCATCTGGAGCTCATATTCCTCTATCCTCACTGTTTCGTGCGTGACGCTTTTATTAGACAGCAGAAAAATGATGGTGTAAAGGGCAAATTCGAACTCCGGGCTGACACCAACAAAGGTGCTTCCAATGGGCTTCACCAAGCCCTTCCAAGCGAACTGGAGGCTCAAAACTTGGTCATCCTTGTCAGGCTGAAAGCAGAAACAAGCACTGAGAGAATGTCCTACAGAAGAGTGGCCAGACAGACACAATTTTGGTTTCTGGATTTTAGAAGAAATTGCAGGATTCAGTCACTACCATGCAGGCATTTGGATCAAGAGTGAGCACTGAGAATGAGGGATGTAAGGACATCTGTTTAGATGTGAGCCCACAGCTCAGACTCCTCTGAAATTTTATTGGATATGGGTGGTTCATGTTTATGGTTCCGAGCCTTGAGAATTGTTTTATCTTTCCCACCTAAAGTAATGGCAAAGGAATGAGTTAGCCTCCCAGCTCATGGTGATACTCACCGAGTAGTAAGTGCTACAGGTAACCCACCCTCTGCCTGCCCCAGTCTGGGTCTCTCTCCAGCCCGTTGCCACCATGAACCTGCCTCTATTGCAGGTGCTCTGTGACTAGGATGTCGCCAATAGACTCTGGCACAAAACCTGGAGAGGTGCACATCATATCCTCACCCTGTCATATCCCTGCTGTGCCAGGGTCCCATAGCTGGAGCAGAGCTTCCTCCCTATCCTCTGGAGAATCCTCTGTATTCATTTGAATCCATAAACTTGAGTAATGCTGCAATTCCCAAAGCACCAGCACTCCTCTTAGAAATACCTTCTGTTCAAAAGGAGCTGGCCTCAAGGGAGTGCTAGTATTTCTTGTGCTGCTATATCCCTGGGGCCAGCACAACCTGATCATGCACAGAAGGACTTGGGAAGGAAGGAAATACAACTGGAAAGCTCACCAGACATACTTTATCATCTCATGCTTTCGCTGGGTGCTAGAAAGATCCCCAAGACTCTGTGAAAAGGACCGAAGTCCTCAAGATGAACCTTTGTGCTCCTCAGTCACCTCAGAACAAGCAGTAGATGTAGACAAAGCTTTCTACCTCATAAGCCTGAAGGCAATATCCTAAAATAGCTTTTAAGCTGCAAAAGGAAATGCAAAGGAAATCTGTGTTTGAAGGACTAGTTTTGCTACACCTTTTTAGCCTCTGGATTGAGGGAGTCCAGAACTCTAGAGAGCTGCTGTATGTGCAGTAGCCACAAATGACAGTGGGAAGAGCACGAGTGGGAAAAGTCAGTGCCTGAGGACACTTTAGGATTCCTACAGGGGGTTAAAAATGAGGTGAATACAGGGAAAAACCCAATCCTGACTGCATCACGGTGTCTTGATTCATTACCACAGCTCTTCTCTGTGGATCTTTTTATCGTGTCTGTAAAGGCACCCAGCTCTTCCTTACCCTGCTTTTATTCTTCCGGGCAACATACCCCTTGTAGTCAATTTGGTTACGCTTTTCCTGAAGGTAAAACTGCACCCAGTTGTGCAAACCTAAGATCTGTTTATGACGCTTTGTTTCTCCAACAAAAACATGTTCAAAACCGCAGGAATCAAGTCTGCAATAAATCAAAAGATAATAATTACTTTTTTCTCTGTTTATCAGTTCAGACTGGTAAAAGGCCACAAGATGCACAATCTTATTTACGTTCATATTTTTTCCTTTCTCAGGTTGGGTTTGGAGTTTGTTGGGCTTTCTTTCCTATTTTGCACAAAAATTGCATGAAATCTAGCCAAGAAGTCTCAATCTCTAGCGGTTAAGATTGATAGTTAAAACCACTTGTGGATTGCCCTTTTCATCTTGGTTTTAGCAAGGCTTTCAGCGCTGGTCTCCCATTGCATTTTTACAGGCAATGAAATGTGGACTACAGTGACATGCACTGAAAACTAGTTCAGCTCTTGGGCTCAAAGGACGGGACAAGTGATACAAAGCTGAGCTGGAGGCCAGTCACCAGTGAGGTATTTCCACAGGCTGATACTGGGCCGATATTGTTTTAATATCTTCATTATTGACCTGGATGGAGGGATGAGTGCAGGTGATACCCAGCTGGCCGGAGTGGCTGCTGCACTGAGAGTGTTTCGCTGCCATTCGGAGGTATCTACATGGGCTGGAGAAATCTGACAGGAATCTCAGGAGGTTCAGTGAAGGGAAGTGCAGGGTCCTGCTCTCAGGGAGGAATAAGCCCAGCACATGCTGGTAGGTGACCAGCTCAAGAAGAGCTCTGCAGGATGTGGGTGTCCTGGTGGACAACAAACTGGGCATGACCCAGCAGTGTGGAATTAGGAAGAGCTCAGCTAGGAGGGGGAGGAAGGTGATCCTTCCTCTGCTCAGCACCTGCAAGGCCACATCTAGAGTGCTGGGCCCGTACCTAGGCTCCCCAGAATAAGACATGGAGTTACTGCAGCAAGTCCACAAAAGGGCACAAGGATGATTAAGGGATTGGGGCACCTGAAACAGGAGGAGAGAGCTTGGAGTGTTCAGCCTGGAGAAGAGCAGGCTGGCAGAACAGGGGGTGGATCTTATCAACCCATACACATATCTGACAGACAAGATTAAAGAAGACAAACCAGTCTCTTCTCAGTGGTGCACAGTGACAGGATAAGTAGCAACAGGCGCAAATTGAAATATAGGAAATATTTCCTATATTTCCTATATTCCTATTTCCCACAAATATAAGAAAAAACCTTTTTTTTTTACTGGAACAGGTTGTTCAGAAAAGTTGGGAAGTCTCCAATCTTGTACATACTCAAAACTTGATTAGCAAAGGCCTCTATCTAATCCTGCTTTGAGCAAGGGTTTGGACTAGAGACATCCAGATGTCCCTTCCAACTATTCTGTGATTTTGTGATGATTTACAAACAATTTCTAGAAACTGTTATTAATTCCTACTATTAGTTTGCACGGAAAAAGTTACATAACTAATGGGCACAGAGCTACTGGAGAAGGACTTTCATATACGAGTACTGCATATTAGCTAGAATCATCAGCAAGTCTTTAAACATGGTCTGAGCAGGACCACTGAACACCTAATTTTGGCCATATTTTGAGACAGTCTTCCATTTTTGTATCTAACAGGCAGAACCCAATCTTATATTTACATAAATCAGAACAGTGTGAGGATTAGCAGGGCCATATTAATCAAACATACCTGTCGCCTTCTTTTCTGGCATAGAGCTGAAACCAGATGTCATAGAGCTGAGATTTGAAGTCTGTGAGGTTTGGCCCTGCCAGGTTTTTTTTAACCAGATACCGATGAGCTAGCTGGAGGTTAGACAACAGAGACATACACACARTTTACTTTTCAATTCAGTGTTCTCATCGACTAAAAATTAAGATCTGTGTTACTCACTTTCATGACTTCAGTTTCTAAGATAGCATCAAGAAAACGATTGTTTTCAGCTATTTCTTCTGGAGTCACTACTTCTGCCACACCGGTTGATGTCTCATAGTTGTCCAATAAGGAAATAAAGGCTATGGAAAAAGAGAAACTTTCTCAGTTTCAGCATGTTCATCCCGATGAGCAGAACATATGTACTACAACACCTATTTGTGCAGCCATTAGAGAGTACCATCATATAAAAATAAAGGCCATATAATATAGCATTTTTCAACTACACTGCTGAATGAATGGCTGGAGGTGACTCAAAACCAGATCACCGCTGCACTTCTTAAGATACTTAAAAGCAACTCCCTGTTGAACTCCCCTATGGACTCAAGTGGCTTAGTAATATATGTAGCTCCAGCCTGGAAAATAAAAATCMGGGAAGGAAATATATAGTCATGGATATGCTTGAAGTACAGTGCTGACAGAAATGCATGTGATAGCTGTAGACTTGGCACCCTCTGAAAGGGGCCAGAAGCTGTAAGCAAATAAGGAAAGTGGAATTTAACTCTTCTTTTTTCAATACAGAGAAGTACATCAAAGCAATAAGAGTTTCTCATCTTTTTCACTTGATAATGGAAGAACTTCAGAGGAATCCAGATTTTGGCTATGGCACAAACCWGTGTTCTTCCTGAGGTTAAGACTACAGTAATCTCCATGGTCTTAAYACAAATGTTGAAGAAATGACCTTCAAATGACAGGTAGTTGGAAGATCCTTACCCCCCTTTCTCATCTCACATTCAAACTTTACACAATTTTATTTTCTAAGGATTTGCATTAAAAAGAAAAGAAGACAGAGTCTCCATGTCATTTCCATTAACAAAACAATAGATCTCACTTGCAAAAGTTTTTATGTTTTTCATGCGTTCCTCATTTACGTAGTGAAACAGATGTCTGGCTGCACCATCTCGGGTAGCACCATCGCCTGCTTTTCCCTAGGAGAAGCATCACAGTGAAAGAAAGATGAGGCAAAAGGTAGTTAGAGGATACAATGGCTATGTTCAGAACYAAACTCAAGACGCCTAATGCTATCCAAACTCTTTGCCAAGAATGATCATCTTGGGAACAAGAGAAGATATTGCAGAAGAGGACTGAGCATCAATCAAAAAGACATGATCCTCCCCTCCTCCCTGCTCTTGCTTAACCCATCTAACTCCTGAGCAGGATCCCTGGGGCCCTGCCCTGGTTTTCTCCTTTTGGCTTCACGAGCGCGGTCCCAGCCATCGCACTGGTGCCAGGGAGCAGCTGAGATAGCAGTAGATTCGGGCACACAGACGTTCAGTTGCCAGAGATTTTCAGAGGGATATAGTTCATTCTCGTCCAAGGGCATTTTAACCAAGGTTACAAACAAGCACATCCAAAACAAAAGGAGATTTCCGACATTTTTTAAGTTCTGACTCCAAAGAAGGCATTCTCAAGGAAAGAAGGGGAAAAATCATTTTCAAAAAAGGGGAAGTGGAGATTGCACAGCTTCTTTGGACAGCTAGTCCCATTTGCATTTGTCCCTGTTGAACTTCATGAGATGCCTTCAGCCCATTCCTCCAGCCTGTTCAGGTCTAGCCTTGCCCGTGAGCGTTATTGACTCCTTCCCTCCACTTTGCTGGTGGCTGCAGACTTGGAAAGGTTTCCAAGTGGATCTCCTCCAGCAGAGCCTTGATAAAGCTGCTAAGTAGCACAGCATGAAAGACAGGCTCCTGAAGGACTCCACTTAAAGCCAGCACCCAGGCAGAGCACRAACCATTAACACGTTCAGCCTCCTGCCTTCCCTGCTCTGTTCCCTCTCCCGGGTGACTCTTCCCCACTAGGAAGTCCTGACTGTGCCATTAATGACAATTATGAAGCACAGGCAAAAGGCAGTTTCACCTGTGCCTTTTCCTACCACACTGCCCTGTCCTTACTCCGTACGTTACTTATTTACTTAGTAATTAATTACCTGCACCTCGATTATGTAGTCTTTCCCGGGCATAAAGCGGTTAATGTCCATATCCCACATCTCATTGAAAAGTTTGGAAAGTTCATGGTTTAAGGACTTCCTGCCAAGAAATACAGCAAAACACACACGTTGGAAAGTCACATGCTGTTGATTTTCATGAAAGTCACTTCTAGAGTCTTTTAGTGCCACTCTAAGTTCTGGATACTAATTTGTCATCAGGAGAGTTTTCTTTTCTCCAAACACCTTGGTGCCAGTGCTGCTGTGAAAACCATATAGCAGCAACCTTGTACGTGCTCTTTGTACCAAATCCCTGCATCCCAGCACTGCAGGAGCCCCCAGCAGAGATACTCTCCTTTGCACAGTTGCACGAGCATGAAGCTGGAGTAACGAAGGGTCACCAAGACGCTGAACACGGGATTTCCATAGAATAAAATTATCTTGTGCAATGATTCCAAATGCTCTAGCAAACCTGCCCAGGCTGGTCCTTTACTCATTTTAATGGACTTTTGCCTCCATAACTCGTGTGTAGTTCTCAGAAATCTATCTGTTCATTTACCCACAAGATTTAGGAGGATGTGTTCTTGTGATGAGCTGCCCAGGAGTAGATCCAGATCCAGGATCTCCCCCTATGCCCACACAGACACACCAGGCCAAGACAGAGTATGGTGGACAAGCAAGAGGAGTGGATTRGCCTTAAGGCGCCTGACAGATGAACAAATCAGCTACCAACCAGCAACGAAGGCCAGAGAAGAACCCCCGACAGAAGCCGTGTCCGTAAGGGGCAGCCGCAGAGCGAGGAGGCGCCCGACAGGCGCATCCCGCTGCGGGCGACGAGGGCCCGTGACTCACGGCCAACGGGAGGGTGCTGCTCCAGCCTGGCACGTTGCTGCACAAGGAGCACGGCAAGATTGTGCCTGCCCGGCTCCTTGGGGCTGGCTCGCGGACTGCTGCTCCGCGTGCCACGCGGATGGAAAGGGAAGAAAGCAGACTGGGCCTGGAGCACTGCAGCTTCTTTTCCTCCACGTTGAGCGAGCCCTTTTCTCTGGGATGTAGCACCTACAAGCTAAGACTAACCCAGAAATTTCTTTTCCCTAAAGAAGCTCATCCCCCTGAGTTAAGAGCCAAAATGAGCTCCTTTACACTAGAGCAAGAGGATAAACGGCAGCAGCTGAAGAGCATGGAGAACAGGGGATCTGCAGTGTGAGGAAAGCAGCCTCCTGCAGAAGGGCAGGGCAAACAAGGGCAGCTGTTTCGGCAGCGGCACTTGCATCTCCTGCAACGGGGCACCTGAGCTGTCACGCACCTCAGCGAGGCTGGAGGCATCTGTGATGCTGCCACATCACTGTTGACGGGGAAGTCCTACAAAAATCACGTGAATTGTGAGCTGGGCTTGAACAGGTCTGAAATAACTGAAAGGAGGATCAAGATTAAAAATTCAGGAATATGAGAGCCAAAGGATGTGTTTATTGCCTGCATTAAATATGAATATGAAGGAAGCGTTTGCGTGGAACAAGCATCTGCATGGGTCTTGCACTGGAGTGGAGCGAGGCCATCATAGGGCAGGTACATCTAGCCCTTGCCTAAACCATGCTCTGCATATAAAGTGAAAATGTGGCTTGTGGCATCTGTAGAGCCCACACAGGATATCTGCTCAGCTTCAGGGGGGATCAGCTGCCCAGCATACCGCAGGGGCAAGCAAGAGGGGTATTTATTTGTGTTCAGCCCTACCTCCAGGATCTTTGCTGGGTCTTGAGCCAGTAATTCCTCCTCTGAAGAGCAGCCTGCAGACCAGCGCGAAGCAGAAAACTGCTCCTCTCATGAGCTCAACTCAAGCCCCAAGAACAGGATCTGCAAGTTCACACACGACTACCAGCGATGCTTTCCAAACTTCAAATGCCGCCTGTGTGCCTGCTGCCCAGGACTGACCTGATTTTACCAGCTCCCTTTTTTTCTCCTGCCTTCTAGATGTTCCTGCTGCCTCCTGCACTGCATCGACTGCTGTTATCTCTGTAAATACCTCCATGCTACATTCAATGGTGCTTTTGCCTTACTACCTTCACCTAAGTTACTGCCCAGGGTGGAGAGGTGCTGTCCGTTGAACATTCAAGGTATGTGAAATAGTAGGTTTTTTAAACTTTATTTTTAGTGTTTTGTACTATATATATATCATATTCTGTATGCATATATTGTAGCAGATATGTATTTCGGTGAAAAAATGTCTTTTCCATGTAGGAATCTGTCATTCCCTGCCATACCTCCTGCTCATTCTTGGTCCTGATCTGCTCCTGACAGACTTGTGCTGTTTATGAAAGACGGTGGGGCTCTGTTTGGTCTTTTCTGCTCCAGAAATGTTATGAGCTATTCTATATAGACTCAAGGAGACAAGCTCAAAGTGCCAAAGAGGGTCACAGCGAGAGCAYACCTACAGATTTCACTCCTTATATTTATTAGTAAACATACTCTTGCCAAACATATTTCTGCACTCAAAGTGTTCAAGACTTTAAAATCACTTAAGTTTATGAAACAAATGCATTTTCATTCCTTTTTCTTTGCTGGGTGCTGCCACTGTATCATCAGGGACCCTTTCGGTCCTTTTTGATRTCCCTTTCATCTCTAAAGAAAAGAAAAGTGCACTTGAATGCTTTATACCTGAAGGTTAGAACAGAGAGAAATATATCCCTGCCTAAGCAAAGAACTTGCTTAGCAACTCACATAGTCATCTTGTAAAAAATGTTTCTTAAGTGTATTTTGTTTAAAAAAGGCCTGTAATTTAAGCTACACATATGAGGTAAGACAACTTCAAAGGGAAGAAGCCCAGCATGTTCATGTAAATCCATGACACATAGCATTTAGGTAAAGTTTTCCTGAGAAAGAGTATTGCGTATTTACCTGCTGATTTTGTAATATCATTGCACGTCTGACTCAAATCCAAGATCTTTATCATTAGGTTTTAAAGTCCTCTCTACAGCAATATCCTTTACCTGTTAGATTTGTGATTTGGAATAAATCATTTTTATATACCAACTGGATATATATGCCAACTGGATTTCTTCCAATTAGAGTCTTGCTCAAATCTGCTTATGGGCATAAACCAGCAGCCCCAAAACACAAAACACTCACTCAGCACTAAGTAAGAGTGGAGAAGATTTTGGGGGTGCAGCAGTGACTCTAAGGTAACAGCAGGAGAGCTAGAGCAAAAACAATCTCAAAGCGTTACTATTGCTTTCAAGTGAAACATTCGCATGATGAGCTAGATTTTCCAAGTGATTTTCTTGTATGAAAACTTCACGCTGTACAAAACAATTCCCCAAGAACARAATTTTTATTGGGGTAAGTCAAAAGTGACTCAAGAGATGAAGAGAATTAAAAGGTCAACAGAGAATCAGGTCAGCAAGTTAAATCAATGAAAACATATATTGCCAATGGACACACACAGCCCTGCAAAAAGGTTTGATTGAACATCTGCTCTGAAGTAAATTTATTTTCTTTCACAGGTTCTTTGAAAGATGTCTTTTTTTTTAAAATCCTTCAATCCTAGCCTAGGGTGCCGATGCATTTGCAAAGCTTGATGAACAAACTTTAAAAGAAGTTTCATTTGAAAGAAATTGGTTCTAGTGTTGCAAAAGACATTCATCATCTCACAGGGTTAATACAAGTTATAGGCAATTAGGCAATTTTCTTGATTTCTCTCTTTTTTATACCATTATATATGTATTTTATTGACTTCAATAGTGTTTTTTAAGGCTAAACTAGGTATTTGAAAGACAAAAGAATTAATTAGGTTTTGCAGATGGAAATGAAAATTGATTGTCAAGTGATAATAAAAGTAGTAAGTCCTAGGTAGCCATTTTCAATCAGTCAAATAATAAGTTTCAATCTAGTCAATGACTAGAGAAACAATTCTACGTTATCAGCCATGTCTAAGTAAAATATAATTTTACCATCAACCTGCTTTACCAAATACAGTTTTTGTTTCCGTTGTCTTTAATCTCACCAACTTACTAAAACAGAGTAGAAACAAGAAGCAGGATAACTGCAATGCTGCATTTCGTATAAGTGCCTTTACAGATATTTCCCAAACAAATACATCCCATTCCTACTCTCTTTGGTGTTTAAAAAAAAAACATTAACATGATTTTCTCTTACCCATGAGCCATGTCAGGAAGATTTTTTTTTCTCTTAGCAAATACACTAAAAGCAGAGAAAACCCAGCCCGAAGCTCAGATATCCTGTGGTAGTCCAACAAATGGAGTTGTCTCCGTCTCACTTGCCAGCTCAGGAGTGTCCCTCAGCCGACAGGCAGGGCAAAAAGGCACCCAAGAAGCAGGAGGTGCTAAAGCCCATGGCAAAACGTGGCAGGTTCCCAGCTCGACTCACATCCCTGCCAGCCGGGACACACTAATAGCAGGAAGCCAGAGCCTCCTCCACCACTTTTATTCGGTCTCTTATCATTGTAGGCAATCGGGATGGCAAATATTACAGGAGCCAGTTTCATTTCCCACCTAGGTTTATATGTGAATTTAAAAGCCTCGTAGAGACTTTGGACCTGGGTCATGTAATTACTTCTGGATTTTTGTTGGATTATTTATCAACAGTGTTTAGCCTCCCAACATGAATTTTAGGCCTCTAAAAGAAAGCACTCAAGTCTGAAAGCCTTGCCTGAGATAGGCGGGCTGTTTTAGTGTTGCTGTTTTACCTACAATTACAGGAAGAGAAACACAAAATAGATCAGACGTTTGGAAATTACAGGAAGAAAACCTATTAGGTAGAAAATCTTGTGCTTTTTTTTTTACTTACAGCTGAAGTTGCTAGTGGGATCTTTTAAGCATGAGGAGGCACGACAAGCAGGAAAGGTTTTACAAACATTCCTTGCTGGAAGTGAGCAGAGACAGGTGCTTGTATGTACAAGAGCTCCCCCCAGCACCTTTCCTGGGAAACACACRTTCATTTTTTGGCTAAATTAAAGTTTCAGGTTTAAAAACTTATTTTTATTTGATTTTTTTTTTTTTTTTTGTATTTCCTTCCTCATAGTCATTAAATCCTAAAGACAAAGCTTTAGGGTGTAGATGCTATATGTACAGAATGGCACTAGCTCAGTTAACACACTGAAAAATGATGCTTTATTTTAACAGTGGCAAGTATTAAAAGAAGACCAAGAAATCGGTGTATCACGAAAATCAATATCCTTAATTTTAGCAGATTTTTTTCCTTACAATACTTTATTGTCATTTTTTACAGATGTGGGCAAGATAAACCAGAAAAACAAACAAACAAACAAACAAAAAAAACCAGTGCCTGTGTTTGTCATCGGTAGGGTTTAATGTAAAATACATAAGCTAGTGGGCATACTCCTTCTATAACAAAGTCCTAACTCCTTTAATGACATGGGCAGAAAGAGAGTTTGAGAGCCCAGGGAATTTTCCTTTACAAGCAGCACCTCCATTGGAGTCAGCAGATTTAAATGATTCTTTGATTCAATGACATCTTTGCAAACCAAGTAACGCCAGGGATCAATTTGATCCTACCAAATCTGCCTATCTGCCAGGTCGGATCAGTAGCATCTTTAGCAATTTTATAGCTAAAGACTGTCCTATGATTTAACTGTTAGGCTACGAAAATCTTGAGGATCCCCAAACATATAGAATGTTCTCTTGCCAGCAGAAACTAAGAGCTGGCCAAAGGCTAATGGAAACAACGTCGAATCTGTCCGTGTCTTTACCAGCTCTAACCCAAACAAGGCGATTAAGAAAACCCTAACTGTCCAGAGAATGATTTTGCCAACACTATGTGATGACTTTCTCTGCTAAAGAGACCTGGCAATGTTTTCTTAATCTTCCAGGGGGCAGGCAAAAACATCTGCAGAGACTAGGAGACTTTTCACCTCCTTGCAGTGATGTGACCTGCTTATCTTCACTTTGGCTCAACAACCTGCTTCTGTTTACCAGCGCTAATCCCCAGACTGAGTGGTTAAGTTGTGGATGATGACTGGTCTCTGACCGGAGCAGTCACCTTGGCAGACAGCAAACGTGGGGAGAAACCAGGCTGAGAGAGAGCAGGCACTGCAGAGTGAGGCGGCTCAATTCCCCCCCTCGAACTGAGCGACCAGGGAGCACAGAAGCACCTCTTGTTACTGTTTTTTTTTTTTTAATATTAGGACCATCAAGTATAGGCTCTGCAGGTAGGAGAAACTGTATCTAAGAGTCATTGACTTTATTGGAGGTTACAACATACACATTGAAGAGTTTGGGTTTTTTTTTTTACCTTCATCATAGATAAAAATATGCATTTGTTTACTAAGTCAATCATTTGTACGTGTCATCGTAAAACAAATTTTCCTGAGGCCTGTTTGAAAACATCTCCTATTCTAAATTCTGGAGGAAACTCAGGGGAGACCTTGTCTCCCTCTACAGCTGCCTGAAGGGAGGTTGTCGTGAGGCTGGTGCCGATCTCTTCTCCAGGATAACTAGCGCTAGGACAAGAAGAAACGGCCTGAGGTTGCGCCGGGGGAGGTTCAGGTCAGGCATTAGGAAGAATTTCGACACAGAAGGAGTGGTGCAGCCTTGGAACAGGCTGCCCGGGGAAGTGGTGGAGTCACCGTCCCTGGCAGCGCTCAAGACACGTGTAGGAGAGGCGCTTAGGGACATGGTTTAGCAGGCATGGTGTGCAGGGACTCACTGTTGGACTCGATGATCTTGGAGGTCCTTTCCAACCATAATGATTCTATGATCAGTGACTTAATCGGAATCACATCTGGGGGTTCATTTTGTAGGAGTGTAAGCAGCAGATGTGGAGGCCTAAGAAATTGGCCATACATATGAGGCAATTGTGAGGCAATGTTGTTATAAAGAAGCTTTCCTTTTTTTATTATCGTAAAGAGACATTGGGACTTAGACTGTTTGCTAAAATGCACAGCAGGCGAACACGCCGAGCACCCCAAGCAGCCGTGCTTAGCGGCGTTTGCGGCTACCGTTGCTGTCTCCATAACGGTATTTCCACACGTCCCGCCGCGCTGCTCCGGCGGCCGTAACAGAGTTAAACCTCGGCTGCCCCCTGGCGGGCTCCGTCCCCTCGCCCGGGCTGCCGGGCGGGACGGATGCAGGAGGGCAGGGAGCCCTCGGGAGCAGCGCGGACGGGCGGCGGGCAGAGAGGCGGCGCCGGGGCGGCCGGTAACGCCTGCAACGGCCAGGCCCCACAAGGCAGGAGGCCATGGCTCCTCCCGCCAACGGCCGGTAACGGTCGCCAACGGCCGCGGCGAGGAGGCGCGCGGCGCTGATTGGCCGAGCGGCGGGCACGCGGGCGGGGCGGGGCGGGGCGCCGCCCTTCCGCATCTCGCAGGGGCCGCCATGGGGGCGCAGCTCAGCACGGTGGGTCTGGGGCGCGGGGGTCCGGGGTCGGGTGAGCCCGCTGCCCCTCGGCACCGCCGTACACCGGCGGGCAACGGCTGCGGGCGGCCGCGGTAACGGGCGGCGGCGGCCGTTAATGGTGATGCAGCCTTTGAATGGCCGGCGTTCGGGGTCCCGGCTGCCCTGAYGTTGTTTCCTCGCTGCTGACAGCACTACCCGGGCTCCCTCCATCTGGAAATCCGTTTTTCAAGTCTCTTAATACTAAAAGTTGCCTTGCCGCGGTTTTTGGAGCTGCGTGGAGTTTGCCTAAGGCCATAAGCTTGTTCACTGAGGCCTGGGTGTGGGTGGGAAGGGAGCCGTGGTGTTTTGCTGCGGTTTGTGTGTGTGTATGCATATGCAAACTTTATATGCCTATTTATATATACACAGATAAAACTGCACTGTGACTCGGCAGTGTTGGCTGTGCTCTTGCTGCTGTCAAGGTTTCTTTATTCTGTAAAATAAAGGCAATCCAGATGGGTTGGAGAGATAGTCAAGGTTCCTGGTATATCTGGTGCCTAGATACTGATAACGTAGGAAGGACAAAGAAGGCATCTGTTTTGCTCCCTCCTTAAMCACCCTAACAGTAGGGTGGGTCTGTGACATTCTTCTCATTGTTGACTCCCATAGCCCTTAGTATTTGTGCTTCCGTGAACACTGGGCATTCTGGTGTATAGAATAATGGTTGTTGTGTTGAGTGTTATGTTGRATATATTGCGTTTCTCAATTTCCTGAGCATTTTTTTTTTAAATTTTTTATTTCAGTTTCCAAACTAGAGGCTTTAAATCCATTAGCCTTGCAGCTGTTGTTGGGGGGTGGAGATCTCTAAGTTTGCTAAGAGAGACTTGTGATTCTCCTGTGTTTATAGCACGCATCATCACCCTTTTTTCTAGCAGCTTCCTGACTGTCATTTCATTCCTTTGATGCACCTGCTTAAGCAATTCTGCCTCTAGGTTCATGAGAGGAACAGAGTGGAGGTGGGTGTAAAATGTACTGGGTGTAGCAATTTATTGAATTACTTCTGTAGCTTTATCTATCTCTTTTTTTTTTTTTTTTTTTTAAGTAAAGAAATGCCCAGCCCTTAATCCTTTTATCGTCTTCAACTGAGAAGAATGTTTACTCAAATTTATTTAAAAAATGGGATTGGGGTGAAGACGTAGGAGTGGGGGTGTTGGGGCTGAGGGTACAAGATTATTTTTGAAGCATTTATTTTGATTGTTTGCAGAACAGTTGGTGGAATACCCTGCCATAAGCTTACTCAGTTTACAATGGTTTCAGATTTAAATGTTGCCCCTTCTTCAGATGTTCTTGGATCTCAATTAATTCTGGCTCTAAAACATGTTTCCTGAGACAATTCCAGACATTTAACTATGCCCTACTTGCCACGCCTTAGGGGAAAGGGCTGGCGGCCTTGCCATGGTTTTTCTTCTTGTGGCCGTTTCTTGTTTTCCCTCAGCAGTCAGTTTCCATTAGTAAAGATTCCAGTTCTATTATTAATTTTCTGTTATTATTTTTTATAATCTTTGCTAACAAAGCTTTGTGTTGCCGGAAACTATGAATCACCTCTGCTGGCCTTATCAGAAGCTGGTCAGTGCTGCAAATTAATGCAGCGTCCATAGCTTCAGTGCAGCTCTTCTGGTTATCTTCATAAACCCTGTGGTGAAAGAATACACTCTCWGGGTTAAGAACGTTCTGTGTTCCCTTAGCAAGACTTTCTTTTCCTTTCTGTTTTTGAAGTCTTTTAACTTGTAATTCTTTTTCTGCCTCCAAGAAGCAGAAACACTGCGCTTCTAGCTCCTTATTCAGAGTGGTTCTGTATTGATGGGTGTGCATTTCCTTTCCAGGCTAAATTTATGGGGCTCTTTCATTAGCTGATGGTGACTAACAAATTGCCTTCCATTAGAGTAATGTTGTGTTAAAAGGATATACTGAAGTTAACCTTCATTCTCTGAAACAGATTTTGTTACCCCCTGAGTTGCTTCAAATAGTGATGGTTATGCACCTTTGGGAAGAAAGAGACAAGTGCTTACTAAAGGAGACATAATAAGGGTAGTTTGCACCTGACATGTGGTGACCCAAAAGCTATTTGCAAGGGTAGGAGAAAAGATTTCCCTCTCTCTTACAGGTGGAGAAACTGATTTACAGGAATGCCATTTCCARTTTCACTCTCCTGTCTTCCTTGGCCTCTGTGTCAGCAAGCACACTTGTACTTGAGTTGGGACAGAGCCAAAGTTCCCKAATTCAGAGGATCAGCTGCTAGATCACAGCTGCTTTTTTGCTCATGGAAGATGGCWCTTTCTTTAAATAAAACTATTCTAACATCTTAATATCACGTTTGCGACTTCATCTGTTGTGGACTCGATTTACTGTCTCCACAAGGTCTTAGTCACCTGTTGCAGTTCTCACTATAACTTATTTGCTGCTCTGACACTTCCTTTTACTCACTTTTCTTACTTYACTATCAGATGCATCTCACTTTGATTCTCTTTTCCTCCTTTTCCTGACAAAATAATAAAAGTTCTTCCCACAGCTGCTATAATCTAATGGCTTTGCAGGAATTCCAGAATAACATTCTTTTTCTCTGAAAAAGCTGAAACTTACAAGTTGTGTTCACAGCATCTGCAAATAAAGGAGAAAAATGCAGTGTGTGTGTGTGTGTGTGAGAGAGAGAGACATGGTGTGCTTTCAAGCTGCTGTTGATATCTTTCAAATCTATATGTCTGCATTTTGAGAAGAAAGAACTTATGCTTTGCCTTTTTTTCTACAGTTTTAATAATAATCTAGGACATTTTTTCATGGCTTCCTGACAGTCTGATGTGTTAACAGCTGTCACACTTAGAGAAATATGAAAGTGAAAGCAGCCCAGASTCTGAACTCTCTAAAAATCAGTAAATATGTATATATGCTATTTAAGTAGTTTGGATTTTTTTTTTTTCCAAGAAGTGGCAGTTCGATTTATTCTCCCGTCCTAGGCTAGGATTTTTTTTCCAAGAAGTGGCAGTTCGATTTATTCTCCCGTCCTAGGCTAGGATCAAGTCTACCTAAACTGTTTCTGCCAGCTATTCACCCACGTTGTTCTTCAGAATCACTAACCAAGGTGGTGTCTTAGGCTGTTACGGTGCTTAGCTAACTTTKCAAGAAAAGTATCCCTAGGAGCGGGCACTGGAGGCCAAGGTACTGGCCTCTGCTTAGCGCTGGTGAGGCTGTATCTCCACTGCTGGGTCCATGTCTGGACTCCACAACACAAGACAAACATGCTCTTACCAGTGGCATGGAAGGCCACCAGGACATGAAGGAATTTGAGCCTYTGTCACATGAGGAGTGGCTGGGAGTGTTTAGCCTGGAAGAAGAGCAGGCTCAGGAGGYTTCTTATCAATGCACGTAAGCATGTGAAGGGAGAGTATAAAGAGGATGGGACCGGACTGTCTTCAATGGTGCCTAGTGAGAGGATAAGAGGCAACAGCGCAAACTGAAGCACAGGAGATTGTCTGAATCTACAGAAGGAGAAAAAAAAAAAAAAAACCACCTTTTTTTAACTGTTTTGTTCAATGAGCACTGGAGCAGGTTGTCCAGAGAGGTCATGGAGACTCCAAAGCTGGAGATGCTTGAAATCTGCCTGGATATGCTCCTGGGCAACCTGCTGCAGTTGACTTTGTTTTGAGTAGGTGGGTTGAACTGGGACATCTCCAGAGGCCCCTTCCAGCCACGGCTGTTATGTGATTTTTTTTTTTTTTTTCTCTCCCTCTCTCTTTCCATCACCACCTCTAGCTGTCATGCAGCTGCATGATCTCTTCATCCTGCATGGATGAATCCCCCAAAACTACATGGTCTGTGCACTAGCCCTTACTACTGGCCAGTAGTGTGGAGTTAGGGAGAATTTGTTTGGTGATGCAGTACCTGGGCAGAGCCTGGTGCAGTGCATGGGCAGAGGCTGCTCCCGTGTGCTGAAACTTGAACTGGGGCTCTGAACACAGCGGGTGAAGTCTGCCCTCAGCTGCAGTGGCTCCATCTGACAAGTGTTGTAGTATGACAGGTCAAAAGCAAGCTCAAGAGTTAACCCTACGTGCTTACAAAGCAAACCTGTTACACTTAATGGCATTTTTTTTTAATGCTTCCTGCTCATATTGCTAGCACACAGAAACAGAGTTCTCTTTTGGGCTGTTAGAGTTGCTGTGTCGAACTCGTTTTTTTCCTCCTCTCCAAAATATCCTTTCCTTCTTGTGCAAACAGTGGTGCTAACACTCTTTCTTGTATTGCCACAGTTGGGCCGGATCGTGACTTACCCATTATGGTTAATCTACTGGACCTTCACGAGGATTTTCAGAAATCCTCATCCTGCAATTACTCTGAAGGATCCTGAAGTGAAGTATGCCTTGAGGCTGATTGATAAAGAGGTGGGTCCCGCTGCGGTGCTGAGTGTGTAAACGGCCCTCTGTGAATCCTCTGACGTGCTTATAGCATCCTAAACCTTGGTAATGAGGTGGCAGCTCTGCAACTTACTGGGAGTTGTAGATGTTTTGAAGGTTACTGAGTTTTGTTTCTAATCATGCAAATGTTTATATTTTAAGGAAGTTATTTATAAATGCCTTGTGCTTAATAGATTAAAAAAAAAGCAGATTTCCTTTAAATAAACTGAACATCACAAGTATGAGATAGGAATCTTGGCGTTTAGCTGTGAAGTTATACCTGAGGACATCTCTAGTGTTGTGGTTTTTTTTTTTTTTTTTTTTTTTAACCAGCATGGTTTTTAAATATTTGCCACAGGTGGGGGTAGCCAAAAAAAATCAGAATGATTTTGATAAAAAGGACGTCAGACTGGAAAAGTGCTTTCTTCAACATATGCAGAAGGCGTTGAGAGTTTAGTGTTTTGTTCTGTCTGTAAAAGAAACAATTATCAAGATTGTGAACTTGGTTTCTTGGAAATTTAAAGTTCCCCTACAGCTTGGGCAGAGCTCCCTTGCTGGATTTACATCCCACGCATATTGCAACAGTGCTGTTACTACGTACTCCCCATCTCCTCCCGAAGCCTGTCACAATAGGTGGTGGCAGATGCAGTCTGCAGAAGGGAATGAAGCTTGAGGTACTTCTTGTCATGACGTGAAGCTTCATAAATTTCATGAAAGTGCTTGAAGTTTCCTGAGATACCAGTTTATAACAGAAAATAAATCACTCTTTTTTTTTTTTCTAAATACTGATTTTTCACACTGTCCTTGGTTGTTATTTCATGAACACTTTTTTTTGTCTTGTGGTGGAGGAATAGCCCTTCTGTAACCAGCTGAAATTTGATACCTTGATCAGCTGGGAGTATTTGAATGATATATTTTTTTTTTTTGCGTATAAATGGAAAATATATCCCAGAAACAGAAGTTGCTTTGAAAAGAATGATAACTTGGTACCAGAATTCCTGTGTTATCTGCTCACTGTTTTCAGTAGTGCTTTCTAATATTGTGCCAAAAATCTGTTGCAAACCCTGTGGCCACTGGTAATACATTTCTCTATTGCCATATCCACAGGTAAGTGAAAGAGGAAGTAAAATAGAATTTGTGGAATACTACAGTTTGTTTTACAATTGATTGAAAATTGCTGAGAACGGTATTCTAAAAATACCTATAATTTATATAAGGACATTTTAATGTCATTTAAAAAAAGAATAATGGCTTTCAGTGCAAAGGAGGAGTCTGCTCAASAAATCTGTGTGTTTGACCAGGGTTTACCTTCAAATGCAGGAGGGCTTCTGCTAAGCTGGCTGCACCTTGCACTGTTGCTCTCAGTGCTTGCTCAGCCTGCCCCAAAACCCCAATGTTTAAAAAGTTTCCAGGATTCCTCTTAACCTTGCTGATATTCATCACTCTACTGTTTGTAATATCATGCAGTCAGATGAACTAATTATAGCTAACTGTAGCCAGCCAGCGTAGCTGGGCATTTTTATCTCAAAGCAGTGTCCGTTAGATATCCTAATCTTCTTGCAATGCACTAGTGCCTTCTCAAGTCGTCTACTACATTGAAATGATTGATTCATCTGATTGAGACATTTCTGGTATAATRTTTTTGATATTGAGCTCCCTCATATTTAAACTCTACATGAGAAATGAACTGACCAGGTTCTTGTCCCGGGGCAGCCTCACAGAAGACAATGTAAATGTTGGCACCATTTAGAAAGTTACTGTTTAGATTGATTTGCAGGTATCTTACCAAGTCTTTCTGTTAACATTTAAATATGTGTCTACAAGCTCTTTCTGTTTGTCATGTGCATGTGTTTTCCTGTGCTACTTCTAAATATTTTGAGGAAAAATTAAATTTTCCCTGGATTTGAATGAAAAGTTCACTCTCGATGTAAGCTGCAGCATTCTATGGAGTTCTTTTACTTATTATCTACTTACGTTATACCAGAATTTCAGTTAGGATCCTCCTGTCCCCCAAATATTTAACCTTGCAACAAGCCTTAGAAGCGTATCAGTTTTAAAAATGAAATTGCAAGCATCAAATGCCAACAACTCAGTAGTTTATTTTTTCTTTTCTTCTTTCAGGAAATTAGTCATGACACGAGAAGATTTCGATTTGCACTTCCTTCTCCAGATCATATTCTGGGCCTCCCTATAGGTATGCCCTCTTTTTCCCTGCCAAGAATCCCAGCGTTGTTTATTAGACTCRTTGCAGAAATCTGAAATGTGGTTTGCAAGAGAGACTCGGATATTTTAAAGGTTATTATATTAGCTTGCATTGTGATGCCAAGGGTTTTTTTTTTCCTTTCCAGTTTGTACTGTTGAATCTGAAATACTCTCTGTTGCTTGAGTCATCAGCCTGTRTTTATGGCATTGTCAAACTTTCCTGTGAGTCACCAGCAGTGTCTGAAGTAGTGTCCTTACAGAGCGTGTGCATCCCGCTTGTTTCTTTGAATGCAATAGAAATGAATGTTGATCTTTGGTGATATTTTTCAGTCTCAGCTTTCCACTGAGTATTATTCCCACAGTGCTTGTTTTCTGTGGTCTGTTTCCATCCCAGAAGGCAATGCTTATAGCTGCTTCTCTCCTGTAATTTATGCCTTTTGCCAAGTGATCTGCTAACCTTGGGACTGGCAGGCAGTCTCATGGAATTTTTTAATCACCATGGAGTAGATGTTTCCTTACTCTTTGCCACAAGCCCTGTTACCTTCTGTGATAGCTTAGTGCAACTGTTTCTTACTGCTTATTTGAAAAGCATATAACTAGGAGCTGTGTTTGCTAGGGAGTTCTGCTTTAGCCATCTCCTGTAATGTTCTGCAGATCAGAGTTACCTGGTGGTAGTCATTAGCATCTCTGCAGTATTACCCTGTATTATGTCCAGGTTCACCTTTTTTGGGGGGCCTGCTGTGATCCTCTTAAGCAATGATGAAGGGCACAGCTAGTTTCCCCTGGCTGTAGAGGAGGGACTTTGAAACGAAGGGAAGCTGTGAACTGGGGAGAGTGGTAAGAGCAGCTGGGAATAAGACTTTGCACTTTTGGGACAAATATTGGAGAGCACCCTCAGGTCTGGTCCAGCACCAGCGTTTCACTTGTAATAGCYAGCTGGAGTGACAGAGAAATGTGATTGATAATGAGTAGGATCTTTTRTAGTTTCATCCTTCTAGGTAACTGAGAGTACAGTCAATTAGCTTATTGACTCTAAGGAGCATCCTTATGCTCCCCAACATCAGCTGTCCTGTCAGTGATGGGATAAAGCTGTAACAAGAAGGAGCATAAAGTAGTGTTTTTCCTTCTTTTCTGCAGGAGCATCTATTCCTGCTTTTTTGTTTTCACTCATGCTGCTTTATGTCTAGGGGGTCTTAGCAATGGCAGCTGGAAGAGCGCTACTTGTCCTGGTAGACTTGAGCCATCCCTTGTGGAAGTAAGAACAGTTTCTTGTAGCTTGTGTTAATGAAATGTGAATCGCACTTTCAAGAGACAGTTGTCCTTTTTTCTCTTTTTTTTTTTTTTTTTGGCATGTCCATAGGTTTCAGTAAATATAAATACCCCAAAATATTGAATGAGTCATGACAGACATAAGATCAGCAGCTGAATCATTTACCCATCCAGGTAGAATCTGTACATAGCTAACAACAACTCTGGCAAGGTGTTAAAAYGTCAGGAGTATGAGAGGGGAAAAAATGTTGCCCTAAACCAAGGTAGTTAAGTCAACTTTGAGACATGATTTGCAGTGTATGCCAACTTGATATGTGCAGTGCAAGAAAAATCTCTTTGAGTGTGAGCTGCTTTTTCTCCCTTGCATGCAGGGCAGCATATCTACCTGTCTGCTCGGATCAACGGGGCTCTGGTCATTAGACCCTACACTCCTGTTTCCAGCGATGATGACAAGGGCTTTGTGGATCTTGTTGTCAAGGTGAGAATATCACTGTATTTTACTAAGCTGGGCAACATCTGAGCCCAGTTTGACACTTGTAGTGCTATGTGGAGGTTAATTTTACCCTGACGTGCCAAGTTCTGTTCAGTGATCTGCCATTATGGGTTTTTGCCATCGTAATGCGTAAAGTACAGTTACCTTCTTTAGTGCCCCCACTAATACTGGGGGGCAAACACCTGCATGTTCGGGTAGATGGTGTGCATTCTCTGGTTACTCTAACCTTGAGATAAGCAAGTTTGAGGAATATTTCTTTGCAACTGAACTGTCAACAGACTTTTTGTTTTTCTATTTGAATTCATGATGACTTTTTGTTTGTTTGTTCTTGAGCTCAGGTGTCAGTTGTGTTGCTTGGAGAGCTTTTCTATGTTACAGTAATCTAAATGAGAGAGTTATTACAGTCTGTGCTCAGGTGAATAAAATCAGGCCAAGGTTGGCATTATCAGAAAACTCACCTACGTGATTCTGGTTCTCTGAGTCTGATACTCTTTTTTTTTGGCTATTGAATCTGCTTTGATAATATATCTTCTTGTAGACCTTTTGTCCTTTGGAAGAGGATTATGAGTGCATAAATACTTACATGCCAGAGATGCCAGAGATAAGGACAAATGCTCATTAAAGCTGTGAGAGTAATTGTTTCGTTTTTATTTTTACCAGATTTACTTCAAAGGTGTCCATCCAAAGTTCCCTGACGGAGGGAAGATGTCTCAGTACTTGGACAGCCTGAAAATAGGGGACACTATTGACTTCAGAGGACCAAGCGGCCTGCTTGTCTACAAGGGAAAAGGCAAGGCAGACTTGGGAGATATTGTTTATCCAAAGTAACCAACACAGGGAAGCAATATAAGATTTTGATGGGTGAATAGTAGTACTGTTTGTCTTTTTTCACTGGGGTTCATGTCTTTTCTGTGCAAAAGAAATTGTGAATCTCTTAAGTCAAGAGCCATCCTTGGTGGCACAAGGGTTACATGTAAAAGGGTTTATTTTTGATACAGTTCTCAGAGAAGGGAACTTGTTTCTGACTTATATGGACATAGTTTATATACTCGTAAAAATACTTGGCGTTTATGCGGTCCAGGGCTGTTTTTCCAAGTGAGAACTAACTTTAGCAGTAGTACTTTTATACCAACATGGAGTGCTTCAGGTAGGTACAGTGCTACCACAAATGTGTCACAAGTGCCTTCTGGCAGTACTGTGAGCAGCAGTTTGTGTTCATGCTATCCTGTGAGAATAGCATGAATTACATTCCTGTGTAAACACGATGTTTCTGGGAGTTTCATGTCCACTATCAGGTTTGGCTGAAGCTGTTAAATGGACCAAAAAAGACTAAGTAAATAAAGAAACTGAGTAACTATTGACCCTTTCTAATATATGTGGAAAATTAGGCCCAAAAAAATCAATGCTATCCAAGCAGTCCAGTTTGGTATTGATCATCTGACTTGAAGATAGAGTGCTATGAAATATGCCTTATTTAGTTTAGAAGATTATGGGCTGAGCTGTTTTGGGAGAAGAGGCAGGGGGATCAGTCGAGACTACTGGCAGAGCAGGCGCAAACTCAAAGACCAGTTGCTTTCTCTCAAGCTTGGCTCTGGCAGTGCGTGCTCTGCCCTGCCCCACAGTGCTCTCCAYGGAGCACACACACTAGCCATGTGCTGCTTCCACCAGGTGCAGACTGTTCTGGTGGATAACTGTTTGGACCCTGCTGGTGCTGAGTTCCATTTCTTTGCAAATTGAGGGTTTCCCTTTAAATAACCTGCCTGGGGCCAACCAGCTCGCYGAGCAGATTAGTTTCTTTATGTAGAACTGTTTCCAGAGATCTGGGCTTCTGGATGTGATCGAAGGGAGGGGATTTGAGCAAACAGAAACGCAAGCAGTGACARCTCAGTGCTGCAGCCAGAGTAATAACTCGTGTCAGTGTTTGATAATATCATCATGTGTCCTAAAATCTCTAATAACCTTTCAGAATCTGTTCTGAAAGGGGGAGGGTGACAAGGCTGAAACCAAGTCAGTAAATTGTACAAACTGGGAARGTATCATGGACCTAGTGTTTGCTGCTTTCTGCAGAATTTGTATAATATTTACCAATATCTATATATCTCTCTTTTTCAGGCCAGTTTGCTATTCGTCCGGAAAAGAAAGCTGAACCAGTTTTAAGAAAAGTGAAATATGTGGGGATGATCGCAGGTGGGACTGGTACGTATATATAAAGATTCACACTTGGTTTCTGGCAGCTGGCAGATGTGTTTGCTCGGATTTTCGGCTGCTCACACTTTCTTTGTCCTCTTGCACCTCTCTTTCAGGGATAACACCGATGCTGCAGATCATTCGAGCTATCATGAAAGACAAGGATGACCACACCATTTGTCAGCTGCTGTTTGCCAATCAGGTAATCCTGTCCTTACTACTGTTATAACTCTTTCCTTAACAAACAGGACTCCACTCGGCAAATGCAACTCTTGCTGAGGAAGCACAGTATGGGAATAYGAACCCTGAGAGAGGAATGAACTGAAAAGTAAAATCTTCCCGTATGTAAAAACACTGTAATGAATTCTTGCATTAGCCTTACTGTCCAAATGCTAAAGTTCTTCCACTTAGTGCTGGCTYTCTTGTGTGTCTCTGCTCTGTTTCTAATCCATTTTATGAACACTTTAAGATTCCTGAGTCCTTTGTGCAAGTTGTTAATGTTTTTTTGTGTGTTCTTTCAAAGCTTTTTACCTGAAAGAAGTAGCCATCTGCTTCCTKTAGAAGATACAATTCCTTAACTGCAGAACAGGACTTTTTGTGTAGAATCTTTCTATATGAGAATACATTATGTGAGATAGAGACTTCGATTTCCAGCAGTTTCCTAGAACTTGAGTGAGTGGTGATTCTGCACAGCTTTCTCCTCCCCCTTCTTCCATTTCCTCCTTCAGTCCTTGATGCATTATTTTTTGCTCCCCAAGCCTACCATGCCAGGGTCGAGCAAAGGGAAAAGATTCTCTCAACCAGGAGAACTTGTGATGGGCCTGSTCAATAACTAGGCAACCCACCGGGTGGTCTAGGTGTGCTGAAGTGTGCTCTTGTTTTTTACATTCCTCTAATATTTACCATTTTGCTTTTAAACTTCTCCCTCCTGATGCTTAGCTGTGTCTGGATTATGTGACATTCATGCYTGTATTTTTAGCTTCTTCAGGCTCTCCTCTGTCATTCCTCTATCCTCTGACACTCGATATGTTTTCACTTCCCTTGAACGTTTTCTGGATTTTGCAGCTTTTCTCCCCCAGCAGTGACGATGTGGCAGTGCGAGCCTCGCGGTAGCRCTCTGCTCCTGCTGTCCCGGTTAAGAAAGCTAGCAGTGCCCTCTGGTGCTTCTTGTTGCAGACAAAGCCGTCGATGCCTGCGGAGCAGTTGCAGGTATCAGGGCAGGAAGACTTGCCATGAGCAATTCAGCTGGAGCTGTTTTAGGAACCTGGAAAACCTACTGCTGCTTAGGGGAGAAACTCAGGGAACAGTTGCCTGTCTAGTAGCAAGTCAAAGGATACAAGGATCAAGCTGTGGCTTCAAAGAGCTCCCAGACTTAGTAACTGCAGGAATACAAACAACTCACTGACAAAGGGACAGTCAGCAAAGGTGGCAGAGTGGAGTTGAAGAGCTCTTTCCTTTAGTATGTGTTCTGCTGATATTTGGGTTTGACTGTCCTGAAAAGGCTCTGTTGATTATAGATGACCACGTATGTGGGTCAGTATTAGGCTTGCCTAGATCRTCTTACGTGTAGTCTTTTGGACTCCTGTGTGGGCTGATGAGCCTCAGAAGCAGCCTTTTGGGAACATGTGCATTTGCAGGTCCAGAAATAGGTGCATTCTTGGCAATAGTGTCTGCTGCAGCCCCCCTCACCCCTGCCATTCCCCATGTCCTGGTGGTCACAGCACTAAATTAGTAAGACTGCGGAGGAGGATGCCACTTTTAGCCGCTACGCTGTCCCTCCCCTCCTGAACTTCAGCTGCTCTTACGGGAATAAAGCTTTATTTTGGTCTTCAGTGATATTGCATCAGGGAGGAGCAGAACCTGACACCCTGCAAAGCATTTGTTGTTCCAATCAGAACTTGATACCCTTTCAGGTATTTGCTGTTCTGCATCCTGTTTAAAAGCTAATCAATCTCTGTGGTGAGATTTGGTGATATTTGAAGTGGTGAAGGTGGAAAACTTGATATTATACCAACTGAATGGTACAGTATGGAGGAATAGTGAGATGCTTGTGATGATTCATTTTTGATGAAGGCTGTTTTTGTAATAGGGGTGCCTAAAGGGGGAAACTTTTTTTTCCCTCTTTACTACAGCTGCATTCCTACAGCTATTTCCCATTGTGTAAGGGATGGTTCTGTGGTTGGATACAGGTCTTGCTTTGGTTTGCTCTATTCTTTAAAGGGAAGTCATTGCATATTGGTCCAGGTTCAGGGATGTTTGGGGTCTGATTATTGGTTCTGCCTCTGGATAGTCTTGGGAGTAACTTGCGTTGTTCTCTTTAGCTTCACAAACGGAGTGGGATCATCTGCTCAGTCTCACAGGATCTAAGAGTAGCTGATGGTGAGTGGTCACCTGAGGGCTGTACTGAAATGTGAGTGTAATCCTTGGTTTTCCTTTTCCTGCAGACTGAGAAGGATATCCTGCTACGTAACGAACTGGAGGAGGTCCAGGTCCAGAATCCCACTCGCTTTAAGCTTTGGTACACGCTGGACAGAGCACCTGAAAGTAAGATACAACATCGTGCCACCACTGAAACCTTAAGTTATGAGCTTTAATGCCCATGTGTGATGGGCCACATGTGTCTGCTGTGCCACGTCATTCTTCATATGATGCACTGAAATTCCAGATGTAATCAGGCACTGCTTCCAAAGCTATGAAACTCGCCCCAGCTGAACAGAAATGTTCCTCTGATGACTACAGCCAAATAGTTACCATTGTTTACTCTGATCCAGTGTGGYCTTCCCTTTCTCACAGTGGGAAATCGCAGGTGTAACTTTGTCTCATTTGCAGCACGTGTTAAGGCAGCTGCTGCGGAGTACCTGCAGAGGGAATGTGCATGCCCCCCTCAGCCGTGCAAGCCTCATAAAGGGAAGGCTAAAAAGGGCCTTCTCTCTTCCCCAATTTGGAGAGGAATAAGCCCAGGCACCAGTACAGAATAGGAGTTGACCTGCTGGAGAGCAGCTCCACAGAGAGGGACCTGGGAGTCCTGGTTGACACTAAGGTAACCGTGAGGCAGCAGTGCCCTCGTGGCCGAGAAGCCCAATGGGATCCTGGCTGCATCAGGAGGAGTGTGGCCAGCAGGTCAAGGGAGGGGATCCTGCCCCTCTGCTCAGCTCTGGTGAGGCYGCACCTGGAGTMTTGGGGGCAGCTCTGGGCTCCCCAGGACAAGAGGGACGTAGAGCATCTAGAGAGGGTCCAGAGCGACAAAGATGATTAAGGGACTGGAACATTTCTTGTATGAGGAGAGACTGAGTGAACTGGGCCTGTTTAGTTTGGAGAAGAGAAGGCTGAGAGGGGATCTGATTAACACGTATAAGTTCATGAAGGGGGAATGTAGGGAGGAAGGGGCAAAGCTCTTCTCAATGGTGGCCAGTGACGGGGCAAGGGGAAGTGGATACAAACTGCAACACAGGAAGCTCCATCTCCATAACGAGGAAGAATTTCTTCCCTGTGAGGGTGACAGAGCCCTGGAACTGACTGCCTGGGGAGGTTGTGGAGTCTCCTATGGAGATCTTCCAAACCCACCTGGATGTCGCCCTGTGCTCTGGGTGTCCCTGCTAGAACAGGGTAGGTTGGACTAGATGATTTCTAGACATCCCTTCTAACCTTAACCATTCCTTGATTCTGTGCTTCCGTAATTCCTTGCCATGCCCACCCAAATCATTGTAGGCTGACAAACATATTTACAGTGGCAGTTTGGGGCAGAAGGGAAGAGCAGTATTCCTGCTCTGACCTTGTGGCCAAGATTACACCTCCCACGGAGTGGTGGAGAGGGGCTGCAGATCCCAGTCTGTTGCTATCATGTCACCTTCTGCAAGTAGTTTTCTGGGCCAGCTTTGGGCCAGCATTTGTTTGCATCCAGGCTTGGGGATATGGTAGCTAAACYGGCATTAACTGACTAGTTAACCTGGTATTAACTGACTGGTATTAACTGGTATTAAGTTCCTATGGCTAGAATTCTTGTAATGAACGTGTAAACGGTGGGATAAGGAGGGTGGATGGAATCGTTTCACAGCACTACGGATGGGAAGACTTTTATTCTGTTCACAGCTCTGAGATTTCTTCACAGCTTTTAGAAATATATATATATATATTTTAAGTTAGCCCCTGCTTCTCCATACATGGGTTTTCCRTCTTAAAAAACAGAATGGCAGTTCTTTCATGTAGGGTAATTGTGATGAGGACACATGAGTGGAGGGTGCAAATACTGCAGACTAGAATGTTCCTTAAAAATCCACTAAACTTCCTAGCAAAGTGACTTGCCTCTTTCTGTCCTCATCTTTGTCCTCTTTCCCCTCTTTCATTTTTTTGAACAGATTGGGAATACAGCGAAGGGTATGTGAACCAAGAGATGATCAGAGATCACCTGCCGCCCCCCCAGGATGATGTTCTGATTCTCATGTGTGGCCCTCCTCCAATGATCCAGTATGCCTGCATTCCCAACTTGGACAAACTGGGCTACACCAAGGACATGAGGTTCTCCTTCTAAAGAAGGCGGAAAACTCRGTGATCTTGTGTGCAAGGGAGGAAAAAACACTTAATGGGGAACAAGACAAAGTTACACGAGTGGCTGATGCACAGTGCTGAGAAGCTGCATTTAGGTTGAAGTTGCTTCAGTTTTTCCAAATTCTGGCGAGTTAAGACACTTAACTGTACTCAAATTGTGCTGTTTTGCACAGAAACAGCGGGGCTGCAGGGGGCAGAGGTGCTGGTTGCTCAGTTATGTTGTACTTGCTGTGGCTCTTCTCCAGAAAGATGGTATCCCACCCAAGGAAGGGGGTTGTGGCTTCCTAGGGGGCTGAAACTCTGGTTTACGCTTTACTAGTGCTGTAATCAAATGGCAGTCGTGTCCTGCTTCCCAGCACTGTGCATACCCCAAATTTGATTTGAAATATGAAAATATATGGAATGTGCTGGATTATTTACCTTGCTTATGCCAGCCTTAATTCTTGCAGAGCTTTTACACCATGAAGGCCAGGAGTGTTTGCCTTGTATGCGTAGCCTTTACAAYGACAGACGCTCCAAGGTGACCGTTGAGTTGAGGGATGGCCATTTGTGACCCCGTCATGCAAGTTGCCATGTTAATCAGAGAGGCAGAGAGCAGCACGTGATTTGTTTCCTGTGTATTTTGGAATGGCCTCTCTGAAATGCAGATGCTTTTCCCAGCTGTCCACTTGGAGTAGCCCTTCCCAGGAACTATGACGAGCAGGAGGTTTTAGTCACCCTTCCAAAACAGCCACAAATCCTGGCTCGGATGTGTACTGAATGCTGAAAAAAATACTAGCTTCTGGATTGACTTTTAAATAGCAGGAGGTGATATAGGAGTACCAAAGTAGGTGTTTCGCATGCACCCTGCAGGGGAAATACCTGGGTGGTGAAGGTGGTCTGCTTTGGGTTTCCTGTTATCCACAGATGGATCTGGAAYGAGAGGAGCTGAGCGCACATTGCAGGAGCCTCCCCTGCTTCTGCCCAGCACAGGCAAAACTCCAAGTGATTTGCTTGAAAAGGATGCATGGGAAAAGCTTTAAGTCACCTAATGGCAACAAATGGCGCTCTGAGTCYGGAGCTGTTCCTTGGATACTGTTTTTCATAGCTCTGATTTTTTTTTTTATTTGTTTTATACAGCAGCTTTTAACCTAACCTGTAGTAAACTTACAGCACCTTGCTTGCAGGAGCATCTGCTTCCGAACAGCAGGGATGCTGCTCAGACTATGGCTGTTCTGCAAGGAGTGCCTGAAACTCAAAATCTTGTTCTGGTGATGGAAAGGGGGGTGATTTGAAAGAATGGTTAATGAAATGCCAAGTAGTGGGGCTGCTAGAGAGCTACCTGGATCAGTGTGTAAGGACACTTGCTTGCAGGATTCAGGTAGGTATTTGGAAGCTGTAACTTGCCGTGTTTCCTTTTGTGCCTGTGCGACAGGTGGGTATTGTGGAATTAAAAGGTTAATTTTCAGTGTGAATTAAGTGGAGAAAACGATACTGCAGTGTATTTAAGGAATCTGGAATGGATATTATTAAACCTACTTTTTTTATATATTAATTAGACTGTTGCATCTGAGATCTTGGATTTTTTTTGTCTGCCTCTGAAACTATTTTTAATACAGTGCTCCAAAGTTGAAATAAGATTCAATTAACTTTCAGTCTGTCTTATTATGAGGCAAAATGTGGGAAATTGAATGTAGTTATCTTGCTGCGGGTTTATATCAGTGTGGGATAAATATAGTTTTTTTTTTTTTTCCATGACTGTATTTAATGAAGTTTACTTGTCAAAAATAGCAAGCTGGTTAAKCATCACCTGCTTTTGTATTACTTATTCTGCATATTCCAGCATTACTGGCTTTTTTTCACATCTGTGTAAGAAATAAAATACCTTGCAGGTGAATCACCTGGCTGTTGTTTAGTGCATGATCTTCATAGAAGTTCACCAGCCCCTTAAGAGACAAGCTGTATTTGGAAAACCCTCTAGAAACTGCGAGCACACACACACAAGCAGGTTGTTGGCTTTGGTTACCTAAGGGCTTTTCTGCTCCTTTGCTTGAGTTTGGTGGAGATGCTGTGTTTGGACGCCAGCTCAGGGAGCAGCTCACGCTGCTTCTCCTCCCCTCAACCACTCCGCTCCAGTCTTATTAGCTTGGTGTTTGTACATCTCCCTTCTGAATATAGAGCCCTTTTATGGGGGGGAAAAAAAAGATTTTTTTAAAAAATGCAGTTTCCTAAAATAATAGTGAGTCCTGGTCCCATTTCTTTTGTCGTCCTGTACAACAGCACTTGTTGCATGTCACATATGTCACTGGTGCAACTTGTACGATTCTTTGAGCTAATTTGTCTCTTACAGAAAACGTGAGTATTGCTCTAGTTTTGTTGCAGGACAGCCACATTCTGCCAGCCTCCTTTCTGATCCTGCACAGCAGCTGAAGAAACGTGACCTTCCTGCATGAAAGGGTCTTTTGGTGGAAAGCTGGCCAAGAGAAAAGGAATCCATAGGCAAGTATGCACCAAGAGGCATCACTGCTGGTGAAGACACACAGGGCAGGGCTTTCCTCTGAGCTGCTCTTCACTGTTTGCAACAGAGGATCTGAGAGGAAGGAGCTAAGAGGAGAGTCCCTAACGTGACCCCTGGGGCTGGTTTGTGCTGCTGCTTGCGGCACTGCAGGCCCCGCGGTTCCTCCCACCAGGAGCAGCCCTGCTGCTGGTGTTGGGCTCAGCTGGGGCCTGTGGCCAACAGCCCACAGAGCTGGGGCCCAGCTTTGATGTGGGGCAGTAACCTAAGCAGCCCCAGCTGTCCTGGCTTCTCCCGTGCCCAGAAAACTGGAATGTGGTGTCCCCAAAACCACACTGACATGCACTGAAGTTACTGCAGAGGAACTATGAAAGTAGCAGTGCCACGGGGGCCCCTAACCAAAGCCTGTGAATTTACCAGTTTGAAAATCGACCAGTTTTCCCTTTCACTGTTCAACAGATGATAAAATGCTCGTCAAGACGAAAGGGAATAAATACGATTAGCTGCTAACATACTGAGACAAATTCCAAGGGAGCTAATTGTGCCTCCCACAGCTGCCTGATCAGCTACCATGCCTGGCCAGGGGCCCACTTCCATTAGTGAGAAAGGCAATCTGCCTTCACCAGGATCCTTGGTTTTGGTCCCAGTGTGTTGATTTTCTACAAGTTTCTTTCAGCAGCTGCCCCAGTTTGCTGCTGCTGCTTCTCCTGACACAGCTGCTTGGAAAGAGCAGGCTGTGCAGCTGGGGCCAAGGCGGCCCTTGTGCGCCTTTCAGCAGGTTGGCCCTGCTGAGATGCTTTCGTGACAGGCTCACTGACCCTGGCATGGGCTTATTGTTATCAGGCAGAGGCAACAGGCTTGTCATACAGCCTATTTCCTTCTCAGGGAAGGGTTTTCCACCTGGTTGTGAATCAGCACACTCCTGCACAACTGCCTGAGGTCCCTGTACTCATTCACGCTCATTCCTAATCTTAACGATTAGTAACACTGGATTTCTGTTATTAAAGGCTCAAACTCCTGTTAACGAAAAACAAAGGTTCTGTGACTGTGCACACAAATACAAGGCTGTGAGTCAAAGGAGCTTGGCTTGGGGTGACAGGGCTTTCATTGCGTTCTGGCAAGGCTTGGTGTCTGGCAAACAAAATGTTCTGGAAAAAGTCCATGCCTTCTATAAACACATTTGCTGGCAGGTAGGGCCTGTTCTTTCAAAACCCAGAGTGACTGACTCATCTTGGCTTCTGCCACCCCGTCCTGACCTAAGGGGATGTGACGGGCAGAGCGGGAAGGTGAGGGGGAGAGGATGGARTTGGAAAAGCAACAGGCAGCCTTTGCTCAGCCAGTGCACAAAGCCATTGTTGTCAACAAGAAGGTTTAGGTATCCGTTGCCCTCCACCCCCTTCAGACTGTATATTTTTTTCCTGTGCAGCCGCRGTTTTCCAGAAGCCATCGGTACCCATGAAAAACAGACTGAGGGCCTGCCTGTCTGCCAGGCTGCTCTTCTGCTCCCCCTTGGCAGCACCGTCTTGCTTGGTGCCACTTTTCAGCTCCAGGAGGAGCCCAGATCGCGACTCCCGAACATCCTGGATTGCTGATTGGTCATTTTGTTGGCTGTGTCATACATTCCTCAGCTCCCTTTTCAACACAGAAGCTGAAGAAGTGAATTGAAAAGTGCTTGCTCTTGCGTTAGTGTTTGTTTGGAGTGTTTGTGGCAGGGTGCGATCTGCTGGGAGGAGCAGCAAAGCCAGGACAGTCCTTCAGCCTTTGAGCTGCATGGACCACACCTGGGTTAAGCACTCCAAAGGGC